TCGCGATGAAGCTGCGCCACCGCCAACTCCCGCACCTTATCTACAAATTCGTCCACCAATTCGCGCCAGACGTACGCGAGACCATCAAAGAATAGTCCGTCTGAGATTGGTCTAGGAGCCAGCGACTGCGATCATCACACAGGAGCGTCTCGGTGGCGGCAGCTACGGCGACGTACACATGGGCATGTACAAGAACAAGCGCGTCGCGATCAAGTCGGCCAAGAACCGTCACGCCGTTCGCGATCTTCTCGCTGAAATCGACGCCATTCAAACGTAGCACGACTGCGAATCCATTCAAATTTCACGTGTGATTTAGGTGCAACTCGCCGTACTTGATCGAGCTTATCGCGGCCTCGGAGCAGTACAGTGACTACCCCAAGCTCCCCAAGCTCGTGCTCGAGTACATGGACGGTGGCGACCTCCACCAGTACCTCGACAAGAAGCGCAAGGGCGAGCCCGTTCCGTTCGACTACTCGACGCTCGATATTGCGTGGGTCATTGCCAACGCTTTGGCCGACCTCCACCGGAATGGCTTTATGCACCGCGACCTCAAGAGCCGCAACGTGCTTCTCTCGTCCACAAACTACATCAAGGTGGCCGACTTTGGCCTCACGAGAGAAATCGACCCAAACATGACGGTTGGGGCTGGTACGTGTGCGTGGATCGCACCCGAAGTGTTTGGCGAGAGCGGCTCGTACGACTATGCGGCCGACATTTACTCGTTCGGCGTCATTTTGACGGAGCTCGAGACGCTCCAGGAGCCGTATGCAGGCATGACCCGCTACGACATTACTGCTGGCGTTCGCAGCGGCCGGTTGCGTCCGTCGGTGAGCTCCAACTGCGCGCCGTGGTTCAAGGAGCTCGTTGACGACTGCTTGTCGTTCGACCCAACGAAGCGCCCGACCCCCATTGCGATCATCGACAGTCTCTTGCTGCAGAAGAGCACCGACCTACTGCAGAAGCCGTTGAGCAGCCGCGAAGGCACGTCGATGGCCTTGACCCACTCGGGCAGCAGCAGCTCCACCTCGGTATCTTGATGCCACCGTCTTGAGTGTCTGTTGAACGATGATTGTGTAGTCCATGTCGTCGTCCTCGTCCCGGGCGATGTCCAGTCGTATACCGTGTCCAGTGTGCAAGACGCGCCACGCTGCATCTCTCGAGCGCTGCAGCAAGTGCGGCGAAATGCTGCCGGACGCATCGGCCAAGCTCACGCTCTTGCTCAAGCGCGCCGAGGTGGCCAATGCCAAGGGCTTCTCGGTCGACCTCTCAATCGAATGCGACTGCGAGACGACCAACGCGATGACGGCGGCGACGTGCTCCTATTGCGGCAGGAAGCTTCCGAACGACGCGGAGAAGCTGCGCATCCTCGTGCGTCGCTTGGACCTCGCGATCAGCGCCGCGTAAGCTGCACCCGAGGGGTCTTTCTTGGCTCCATTCCGAGGACTCTTTTCCATTTCCATCTCTTCCAAATAGTACGTTTTTGCCATTTTGAAGTTTTCATTTTGAAGTTTTCGACTTTGAATCTGGATGCGTCGACGAAGAAATCCGTTCGTCAAACTGTGCATGAGGAATGGACGCCGGCGTCGAGCTCAAGTAGACGCAATGACGAGGCTGCTGTTGCCTGACCCTGCTGAACGCTACTCTTCTCGACGTCAAACGAGAGGTGTGTGAGTGCTGGCGCCTGATGGGGCTGGTAGCGCATTTGAACCTTTTCAAACGCCAGGTGACCGCGCTTCTCGCTCTCGAGAATACGAGGCAAGAGGTCGCTTGTCAGCGGCGCTTCCATCGAGAGGGTGTCACAACTCTCAAACCGCTGCAGCGAAGCATGGGAGGCTTGGACTTGGGCCCGAACGCGCCGTGCCGAATGAACTACTAGCGTTGCAAAGTCGTAGCATGATCGATAGTCCAAATCCGATCCAATGCTACAAGGACAGGAGGGACGAGTTTAAAGTACAAAACAACTCCAAGGAGAGAGAACTCTCTCGGCAACTCGTCTTTGGCGATCCGACGTGCTCTGTGCGGAGTGTGCATAACACTCTTTGGTCGTGCACATCGAGCTTACACCGCGCTGGTCGCGAGGTCGAAGCGACGGGTGAGGATGCGCAGCTTCTCCGCGTCGTCCAGAAGCTCCTCGCCACACTCGGGGTCGGTGCACGTCGCCGCCGTCATCAAGTTGGTCATTTCGCAAATGTCGCAGTTGATGCAAAGGTTGATCGAGAAGCCCTTGGCGTTGGCCACCTTGGCGCGCTTGAGCAAGAGCGTGAGCTTGGCCGACACGTCCGGCATGGCCTCGTTGCAGCTGCTGCAGTGATCGTTCAAAGCTGCGTTGCGCGTCTTGCATGCTGGGCACGGCAGACGACTGGACATCGCCCGGGACGAGGACGACGACGTCGACTAGATCCAAAGGGTAACCAGACAAGCACTCTCAATACACAATGGTTGCATCTTACCGAGGTGGACGAGCTGCTGCTCATGCCCTTCGTCAGTTGCGGCAGCGTTACCAGACGCTCGGTCTTGGTCTCGGGCTCGGTGACCGGTTCTCGACCAACAAGAGCCTTTTCCTGCAGCAACAAACGATCGATGATCGTCTGCGCCATCGGACGCTGCTTGGGATCAAACGACAAGCAGTCGTCGACCAGCGCCTTGTACCACGGCGCACACTTGGAGCTCACCGACGGACGCAGCTCGCCTTGTACCACGGCGCACACTTGGAGCTCACCGACGGACGCAGCTCGCCGCTGCGGACGCCGTCCACGATCGCAAAGAGGTTCATGCCAGCATACGGCACCTGCAGCGTCTCGAGCTCGGTCAAAATGACGCCAAACGAGTAAATGTCGGCCGCGTAGCCGTACGTGGTTCCCGAAGCAAAGACTTCGGGTGCGATCCACGCCGGCGTTCCCACAAACGTCGTCATGTCGAGGTTGAACTCTTTTGTGAGGCCAAAGTCGGCCACCTTGATGTAGTTGGAGGAGCTCAAAAGCACGTTGAGGCTCTTGAGGTCGCGGTGCATAAAGCCATTCCGGTGGAGGTCGGCCAAAGCGTTGGCAATGACCCATGCAATATCGAGCGTCGAGTAGTCGAACGGAACGGGCTCGCCCTTGCGCTTCTTGTCGAGGTACTGGCGGAGGTTGCCGCCGTCCATGTACTCGAGCACGAGCTTGGGGTTGTCACTGTACTGCCCCGAGACCGCCTTGAGCTGCAGCAAGTACGGCGAGTTGCATCTACCATCCAAAATTGAGGTTCAGATTGAGCAAGTTGAAGAAGCATCGTACGTTTGCATGACGTTGATCTCTGCGCGAAGGTCATCGGCGCCGGCTGCGTATTTAGCCGACTTGATCGCGACGCGCTCGTTCTTGTACAAGCCTTTGTGCACGTAGCCAAAGCCGCCGTCGCCGAGGAGGCTCTTGGTATCAATGTGGATTGCGCGCTCGGGCACCTACGCCAACGAGGTTGGGTACCGCGCGCGGCCTCTGGTTTCTTACGCAGTGCGCGATGCAATGGACTGCCGAGAAGATGAGCTGCGGCAACCGGCGGTGGCGCAGCTTCATGGCCAAGACGAGCGGGGTTTCGATCTCCTATACATGTCGACGTCCATTTTACAGCGGCGAACGCAGCCGGGCGAGCGCCAGACCTGGTTGCGTGCATTTCGCTGCACGCCGGGTGCGTGCAGCAGCATCTCAAGGAGAGTGTGCGCACCGCGAGGTGCAAGAGGCTGTCACCACTCTACGCAATGGACATCGTCGGCCGAGACAGCGCGTAGACATGGTCGTACCTCGGTGGTGAGGTTGGGGCTCACACTCTCTTCCACGAGCATACTCGCGCGCACGACATCCCCAGCGACGACCGCGGCCAAAAGCTCCGAAGCACGCGCGTCGTACGCTTCCTCGAGGCGCGCGAGGTCGATGCCCTACACCATGGCAGCTACACGACCAAGCGTGCAGTGATCGAAAGTACGTCTGCGTGGGCGCCAGCGTCGAGGAGGAGACCGACAATGGTCAAGTGACCGCCGCGCATGGCTACCGTCAGCGCTGTCTGGCCCTTCTACACCGCCCACGATGATAAACGTTGCGGTGGTACCAGCATCGTACCGCGTCGGTCGCATGCACGTTGGGGCGGGCAGAGAGCAAAACTCTGGCAACGTCTTCGTGGCCAAACAGTGCGGCCAATAACAGCGGCGTCGCGCCGGGCTATGCACAAGGCAATTGCAGCGTTTTATCTCAGGGATACAGTAGACAAGTACCATGAGAAGCTGGTCCTGGGACGGAAAGCTTTCTCGAAGGCCCTGATCGACGTCGGCCCCCGCGTCGATGAGCCGAGCAACGATCTCGTGATGCCCATTGCGCGACGCGCCGAGAAGGGGCGTGTCACCATCCTAAAAGGACACACATGGCGCGACATCCTCTCAAAAGAGATTCTCTACGCTCGCGCCTTGGTTGACCGATGCGTGGGCCGCAAGGAGCATCGCTACAACGGCGTCGTGGCCGTTTTGAGACGCCGCCAAGAGAGCCGTCGCCCCGTCCTAGACCCCGCACGTTGCATGCATCGGCGACGTCGACGTGCGTCTTACGTTTCGAGCTTGATTTACGGCCGCATGGGCGGCGAGCAGGTCGGCGACAATGGTATCATGGCCATTCTTGGCGGCGAGCCAAAGGGGTGTCGCTCCATTCTAGACATGCATGGGGCCATCGCAACAAGAAAGCACGTACATTTCTCGCGTGGTTCACCGCCGCTTGCGCTGCCACGAGTGTCGTGACGACCATGCCGTGGCCGTTTTGGGCGGCGGCCAAGAGCGGTGTCGCTCCGTTCTAGTACCGTGCTGCGTGAAAAGTGTCAATGTATCAAGCGCCGTACGTTCATGGCTCGGTCGACGATTGCGTGCGCCGCGAGCAACGCCGATACAACTGCGTGGTGACGCGACCAAGAGCGGCGTCGATCCGTTCTACGACTCCAACACGGTTCCAATGCGTGGCGGCGACGGCAAATTACGTGTTTGGCGTCGTCGACGGCAGCGCCGGCGCCAATGAGAGCTGTGACGACGCGCACGTGGCCATTCTGCGCCGCGAGAAACAACGCCGTCGCGCCGTCCTAGCGTCCAGATATCCGGTCCGTCCTACTCTGCGAGACATCGACAGCCGTACGGTCATCGCGTGGCCAACGTCGGCGCCGGCAGCCAGCAATGCTACGATGACGGCAGTATGGCCATGCTTGGCAGCAAGGCAGAGCGACGTCGCGCCGTTCTAGTGCAGTCGTGGGTCCAGCGCCGTCGAGAAAAAGAGACCGTACGTTGGTCGCTTGGCGCACGTGGGCGTTGGCGGAGAGCAGCGTGGCGACGACCGCCTCGTGGCCGTTTTGGGCCGCGAGACACAAGGGCGTCGCACCGTTCTAGAGAGATGACCACGCGAATGGCGATCGCACATAGTACCCGACCACGTACGCTTCTAGCTTGATCCACGACGGCGTTGGCCGCTAGCAATGCTCTCACGACGGCATCGTGACCGTACTGCGCGGCCATCGCCAGCGGCGTCGCTCCGTCCTGCACCATAAAAACGTCATGTCCCACGAGAGCGTGGTCGAACCGTCATGGCGTGGTTCACGTCGGCGTTTGCGGCGACGACAATGGCCACGACCTCGCAATGGCCGTTCTGCGCTGCGAGACTTAGCGCCGTCGCTCCGTTCTACAAAAATAAGCAGGAGCCCAAGCTGCAATGGCGCGTCGGCGTACGTTTCTCGCCTGGTCAACCGCGGAGTTAGCGGCGAGCAGCAAGGCCACAACAGGGTCATGACCGTTTTGGGCCGCCGCCAGGAGGGCTGCGCTGCCGTCCTAGCCAAGCATCGACCCGTAGTGTCGAGGTCGGTTGCAGGACGCACCTCGTTGGTCCAATGGACATTGGCGCCTCTCTCGAGGCAGAGCGCCACATCATTGACGCAACCGTTGAAGGCTGCGTGCCACAGCTGAGCGTCCTATTACGAATCACATGAGGCATGCCGCCTTCTCGCCGTACTACCAGTGTCGACATGCGTCGTCTCTTGTTGTGTGGACGTCCACATTGGCGCCGACGGAAAGTTCAAACCTCTCCAATTGCATATCGCATTGATTGTCAGAGGCTTAGCAGCCCGTCTGGTGGCATGTCTCATATTTGGCTGCTCGATCACGATTGCACACCGCCTCGGACACACACGGTGCGTGTGCACACTTGTGTAGATCAAGACAAGGGAGATGGCTCTCTGCAGGAGTCTGCCAACCCGAGCACATCCACCTACACGTCTCAGGACGCCAAGGACATCCGGCATCATCAGGACCTTTGGCCCTTTCTAACAGTCTCATCAACAAGGCTGTGTGAAAACACACACAAGACTCTAAAAACGCTCTGCACGAGCTTACGACGTGCGCGTCGCGAGATGCAGCTTGTACGCGCAGTAGAGGCCGAGGCCGTTGAGCCCGAAGGCGATCGCAAAAAGCCAGAAAAAGCAGTGCCGACCGACGCAGACCTCGGCGCCCGAGGTCGGGTCGAGAGCCGACGCGATGCGGTACAGCCGCGACGAGAGCGGCCCAAGCAGCAGCGGAAACCCAATCGCATTGGCGAGCGTCATCGCGCCAAAGTTCTCGCCAAAGTACTTGGCGCCAAAAAGCTCTCGCGTCAGCACCGTGTACGTGGGGAAGAGGAAGCCTTCGGCAATGCCGCCGACGGCCACGGGCACGAAGAACCATCCAAGCGGCGCCAATACAAAGAGGACTTGGCCGAGCATGGTCATGGCCAGACCCAGGCCTAGGAACGAGGCGCGCGTCCAGGTGGCGAGGTACGTGTCCGAGAGATGCCCGACAACCAGCCGGCCCACGAGGTTGCACAGTGAGAAGAGCGAGACGTAGGGCGCGACGGCGTCGGGCGCGCCGCCCGCCGACTCGAGGAGGAACGCGAGGTTCGCCATGACAAAGAGGCCCGACCCGACGCCAATGAGCACGGCGAAGAAGAGGTACCAGAACCGAACGTCTTTCGTGAGCGCCCAGCCCGTGACGTTGACGTCGGCGTCGATCGCTGCATACTCGTGCTTGGCAACCTCGTCGTCGTGGGGCAGAAGCAGCAGCACGCCGAGACCGCACACGAGCAGCGTCTCGGCGCTCATAAAGCTAAAGTACGCAGCGACGTGGTCGTTGAAGAACGTCTTGTAGAGGAGCGAGAAGACGGCGCCGCCCGCGCTAAAGCACGAGAGGAGAAGACCGAGCACGAGACCGCGGTGGCGCTCGCCGTAGAGGCCTTCGTTGGCGCCGAGCGAGACGATGCCGGCAAACTGGCTCGAGAGGCCGATGCAGCCTAGGGCCAGCGCCAAGGCGAGCGGCGAGCTTTTCGCGGCCGTGAGCATCGAAAGCAGCGCGTAGAGGAGCGGGAGGAGGATCGTACCGACGACGATCGTCTTGCGCACGCCAAAGCGGTCGTAGAAGACGAGAGCGACGAGCTGACGAACGCGATCTGGCTCTGGTCCATCTGCAGGTACGCCTTGAGCTGCGCGTTCCAGGCCGAGATGGCGTAGCCCGCGCCGATCGACGTCATGATGAGGCAGCCGGCCGCGAGGCTCAGGCCCGCGCGGACCCGCCGTGGCAGCATGCTTTGTCTAGAGTCTCGAGGCTTGGTCGGTGGCAAACCGATCGCGTTTGCAGACGGTAGTTTTAAACATCCGAGTGTTGGCATTGTATTGACTGTAGAAATGAATACAAGTGTATGAATCAATTGCAGTTCTGCTGTTTCTTACAGCTTGAAGTTGGCACTGAGACCCTCTATAAATACATACAATATGTAGTCCCACGGGTTTCATGATTGACGATCGCTACCGGTACCGGTACTATGTGAGCTGCGTGTGCTGGGTCAAAATGACGCCAAACGAGTAAATGTCGGCCGCGTAGCCGTACGTGGTTCCCGACGCAAAGACTTCAGGTGCGATCCACGCCGGCGTCCCCACAAACGTCGTCATGTCGAGCTTGAACTCCTTTGTGAGGCCAAAGTCGGCCACCTTGATGTAGTTGGAGGACGAGAGGAGGACGTTGAGGCTCTTGACTGTGAGGTCGCGGTTCATGAAGCCGTTGCGGTGGAGGTCGGCCAAAGCGTTGGCAATGACCCACGCAATATCGAGCGTCGAGTAGTCGAACGGAACGGACTCGCCCTTGCGCTTCTTGTCGAGGTACTGGCGGAGGTTGCCGCCGTCCATGTACTCGAGCACGAGCTTGGGGTTGTCACTGTACTGCCCCGAGACCGCCTTGAGCTGCAGCAAGTACGGCGAGTTGCACCTAGTACAATCCAAAATTGAGGTTCCGATTGAGCAAGTTGAAGAAGCAATCCTACGTTTGCATGACATTGATCTCTGCGCGAAGGTCATCGGCGCCGGCTGCGTTATTTAGCC